TAAAGAATGCACAACTTCAAGATACAAACATTTTGAAATTGACTGGAACACACACAAATTGCACTGAGCTGATCTTGATCCACGGGTAACAACCAACAACTTGATATACGACGAAAAAATCAAATATTTATGTCTAGGGTTTATATTATTGATGAGTGATCCACGGGCCTTACAGGCTTGGAGTTGGGCTGTGGGCTAATCCCCTGCATCAGGAAAACACCACTGATTATGGAAAACGTAACGAAATCACAGAACCAGCTAGCTAGGGTCATAGTATGGCCTAAATGTGGAGGAGTTTGTACATTCGAACTGAAACGGCTGAACGTTTAGCAAACATAGACAAGTCTAAAGAATTAAACATAAGACATCGGTCAAGCGTCCATTGGATTCTTGATTAGTATACGTAATAGGACTCCATGCTGTCCAATTAAGAAATAATTGGACGAGGAAAATTCCGAGGACTGACAAAATTGGATGAGGCCGTAGGCCGAGTCCAATTTGGCAGTCAGAGGAATTTTTCGATTCTAATTATTTCTTGATTGGAGAGCATGAAATCCCATTACCTATTAACTATATAGCTGCCTAATTAATACCATATCAACAAGACCTGTCCAATTAAGAAAATAATTGGACAGTTACCTATATGGGATTAATGAGAAGCTGTATAATTAGACTAAGTAATATCTCACTTTAGAAAATAATTTAGATATAACGGGAACTCTGATTGGTCAAAAAAAACATGTTCGATGAGAGTATGACGTCAAACAAGCTCATGTCTACYATTTTTTCCGCACGCGCGCTCTGAATTGATCGTGCGCTTGTTATTTAATGGTAAAATTTTAAACAGTTTCCCGTGTTTAATACTTTGTTCAAAACACTTGGGATATTGAGAGAACACTTGTTCTCGCGTAGTGGTTTCCTACGCTTCACAAGTGGTTTCCTACGCTTCTTTCAGCATCCCTCGTGTTTTGATCAGAGTATCAAACACGGAAACTGTTCTATATTCGTTCAATTAGTATATAATTAAACCATTTGAGTGTCCCCATACTTCATATACTCGACATATAAATGCATTAGAGCCACAACTGACAAGTCAAACATTGGCTTGTGTCAGGTGGTTGGCTTGATGATATTCCTACAAGTATAAACACGAGCAACGCGAAAGATTAAATATTGACAACGTCTCTATGGCAGCAATCAGGGATGCCACGAGACAGTTGCCAACGTCTACCCAATCATTTGCTCTTTTCAGTAAGTTTATATTTGGGATTAAGCTGAGGTCAGTCGAAGCCACAACGGTGACCAGTTTCTTATTCCAAAACTGTTACATTATGATTAAGTGTTTTAGTTTAATTTCGATTCCACGTTGGCAAGTTTGAACGTGTTTTAAACACGATTAACATATCATTACTAGTGTTTTCATAATAACTCGTTGATAAGTGATTTTACTATATGCCCTTGATCATCGACCGGCCAGTCTTGTCTAGTACCTGTTGGCCCATGTCATATCCCAACAGGTACCTATTGCCTTGTTGCTGATCAGTGATCATTTGTGACACATATGAGTGAGTCCTTAGCTGCCCTTTATAACATCCATTCTGCTAATTCGATCCTAGGAGATATTCACGATAGGGCTAACTCGCTGATGCGAATAAATTAATGTTTAGTGTTTAGTGTTCTGCCTTTTATTTCATCCTTGCTATAAACGTCGAAGTATCATAGCCAAAAAGTTAACGTACTGAAATAAAGTCTTTTCCCCAGTCAGTGTCAACTCGTTTATATGTATATATATATATATATATATATATATATATATATTCATATTGGACACGTTCAGATTATTTTGTGATGTGGCTATTGTATTATATGTAGCGTAAATTGATGGTCGAATATTATCATATTGTTATTATATTATTATTAAATTTAAATTATTATTATTGTTATTATTACTATTATGTAGCGAAAAAGACGTGTCAGTCACGAATCAACCGCGTTTGGGATCCCCCCCTGACTCTTTAGGATGTGAATATCTGAGATAAATAGGCTATTTGTTGCGTGATGGTTTGTATTTCCCCATGAGGATAGTAAGACAATTGGTGCTAATTAACAGAACAAAAGAAAGTGTGCAAGGGATTCTGGTAGTTGTAGTTATCAACGACTCAAAATAATACCGCAAAAGTCCATGATTGAGCAAATAAAGACTCCAGCATCAGCACAAAATGATATGATTGGATGACGGTATTATAACAAATCTATAAACAAATGAATGAAGTGAATACAAGAGAGAGGGAGAAAAGGAGTGGTTGACAAAATAAATGGAAGGATGTAATAGATCAAAAACGAGTGCGAGTGTTTGATCAGGGCATCCAAACACCGAGAAACAGATGAAAGCACGAAGGCGTTAGACAGAGTGCTTTTATTGTTTCGAGGTGTTTGGATGCCCTGATCAAGCACGAAGCACGAGTTTTTGAACTGACTTCGATCAAGCTCATTATAATTCATTTGTTCTTGAATCTCGTTAGACAAAAAAGGGGTTAGTGTTTTGATCAGTGTCTTGATCCCGTTTTTGATCAAGTATCAAGGTGCGTGCACGTGACTACAATGCAAAGTCACCMTTGGTCATCATTGACCTCATGAATTATGAATTAGTGTGAGAAGGAGAGTAGGAAGGATGGTTGGATGGACGGGAATTAATAGATGAATGAATGGATGCCAACTGAGCCATGAAAGGGGAAAATGTTGCTGAAAAATATACTTCAGAAGAAAATGAGAAAAAAAAGGGATTAAAAAGGGCGCGTGGACAATTGAAAGAATGAAAGAACGGAAAGGAAAACAATGTGTTTAGATATCAAATCGTGGCAGCACCTTTGATGATGTGTATCAAGAAAGGCGAGACATGTGATGAATCCATTGTCGTCCCGTTAAGATAAGTTTTGGGTTGAGCGTTGCGTGTATAGAACATTGATTGTAGTAGTCTGAATGAGTGAAAAGTATCACCAATTAGTGCGAAAGCGCTAGAACGACTAGACTAGTTTTATCATCAAAGCGATAAAGAAAGAAAGAAGTGAAATTAACTCAAAGAACGTTAACGAACCCCCCCAAAAAAATTGAAGAAAATAGAAGAAGCGGATGAATAACAAGATAATATAATAGTATAGAAACTCAATCTTTTCATGTGGTATGAGTTTCAGGCCTTTGTGGATGGTCTTTGGTTATAGCTCCTCCTTCTGGTTCAACATCCTATTCTTGGCCCTAGGGCTGATTCAGTCGTGACTTCCGAAAGCGCTGGTTCACCTGGCAACTCAACTACGAGCCAGTTTCGAAACACGCAACATGTCATAGCAACTGTTCATGATGTGACGTTTTTAGTCCTTGAACATCATGTTTAATGATACAGGTGCTATTGCATTTACTTCCTTAAGCAACCCTTACAGCTAATCATAATATATATTGCCCCTTATTGCAGGTCTTTTTATTCTGATGCCGGCATGCATGAATAATGCCATCAACTGACGTTGCAACCTTCATTAACTATAGATAGCCCTACACCGCGTTGGAAAACATTTTAGTATTCACTACGTGTTTTTATTGTAAATCGCGAAATAACTTCCTTCAAAAAAACACTAAAGACACCTCGAAGAAAAATATATTTCTGAGCAAGATTTTTGATTAAACTTGTTTTGTATTTATAGCCAAGGGTTTTATATTTCAATTCTTCCGCTCGTTTAAGAGAATCGAAATCGATAAAGATGGTCTAAGCGGCTTGAAACAACAACAAACCGGCTTCAGCAGATTTTGAGTAGCAACTACAATCATGTGCTAGAACGTAATCCCGCCCAGGAAACAAAGATCTTTGATGAGAATATTTCTCAGTCGATCATCATATTTGATAAATCATGACATGTTTATGAAATAAATAAATAAAAAAAAACACTTCAAGAATAACTTTTCTGACGTCAATGGAGGGGAATTTCAGGGCATGAGGTAAAATGAGGTCAACTGAAAAAAGCTATAAGATATTTTTAATGGTCCAATGGACAGATGGAAGTGCGATGAAAAAGCGCGCGGGTTGATCCTTATGAATATTCATGAGCAGCCATTACGTCACGTGGCCACCATGTCRATGGAAGAATCCCAACATGCGGCCGCCATTTTGAAATGGTAAACTGTAGCGTACAGTGGTTTTTAAATTCGGTTTTTTTAAAACCCGGGAACCTTTGATATCAGCCCAAAATGGCCGAAGGAGGCTCGAGTGTGACTCCTGAAGATACAGACGAAGAGACGCTGTTTATGATATGTGGTGTTTGCCGTAAAGCTTCGGTGGAGTCTAATCCAAAGCTTTTGCCTTGTCTTCATAGTTTTTGTCTTACTTGCTTAGAAGAACGGTATAAACAGCAACTACAGGATCAAAAACAAAACCCGACGGCCAATACTGGATCTCAAGGGCTTTCCAGGCTAAAATGCCCTACCTGTGGGCAAGAATTTTTGGTTCCACAAAAAGGTATTACCGGATTTCTCGATAACCAGTTTATGTTGGAATCATTGAGTAAAATCTCTCGTAAAAAAGAAAACAACGAACGAGTTTGTACTTCATGTGAAGACAAAAGCCCGGCAACTTCCTACTGTTTAGACTGCACAGACTGGCTGTGTGATGCGTGTGTACAAGCCCATCAAAGAGTTAGAGTAACGAAAGATCATACGATACAAACGATGGAAGAGTATAGAGCAAATGCCAACTCTACTTCCGAAGATCAACGGCCCATTTTTTGCACTACTCATCCTCACGAACCGTTGAAATTATTCTGTGGTAATTGTGAGAAGCTAACCTGTAGAGACTGTCAACTTCTCGAGCATAAGGATCACAAATATCAATTCGTAAAAGAATCGGCGTGTTCCTACCGAGAATATCTAAGGGCACAGCTTAATCGTCTATATGAACAAGCTCAACCATTAACCGAATCTATCAAAGATATCGAGAAGGCTGCAAGGGGGCTACAAGAAAGAGAAGAAGTAATCACTACAGAGATCCACAAAGCTTGTGAGACATTGATAAAAGCTGTGAAACAAAGGGAGAGTGTTCTGATTACGGAGCTGAAAGCACTTGTTCACTTTAAACACAAACTGTTAGCCAAGCAGAATAAAGATTTGCGCTTGATGCAAAAGATTCTTCAACATAACTACGGTTTTACGAGGCATGTTTTAAAATCTAGCAGTGATATGACCTTACTTTATAGTAAAAAGCAACTAAGTTCAAGAATCCATAACCTGTTGAGTTTAAAATACAAGGTTAACCCTGTGGCACATAGTGATTTGAAGTTTTCAATGGATGCTGATAAAATGGCATCGTTTATTGGAAAAATAGGTTCAGTTATTACTCCTGGAGACAAGACAGGGACAACAGGTAGCCCATCAGTGAGACTTGAATCAGGTTTCAGGCCTGTAGCTAGTACCAGCGGGATCCAACAGGTTAGAACATCAGCTGTACAGGACACATCAAATACCAATCGTGTGAACCCTTATGAGGTCTTGTCTACACTCAACAAGCGCTTGCTGTCTACCGCTACTAGCACTGTCGTCAACAACATAACAGTAAAGATGGCAAATGGACAACTGAATCAAATTTCCAGTTCGAGTAGTAATGTTGGGGCTAAATACCCTTCAAACGGAGGTATATACCAGGTTAATAACAAGGTTGCCATGACAGCATCAAATAGCCCGAAGCTCAGCCATGTTGGTTCACCCAATCTGTTACCCAAAGAACAACTAGGACTCCAAAGTCAAATGAAATATACAAGTCCTTTAACCAATCAGAGCAGTAGAGACCATATGAGCACTGTTGATTATAACAAGACGAAACCTTTGCATCACTACTTAGGTGGATCTCCGCCTCAGTCCTCAACAGGTGGTAGTACTGGCATGGATATTCGGAGTTTTTCACCTCAAAGTCAAAATGGTTTTGGAGGCATGATCACCAATGTAAGAAGTCTGAAAAACTCGTACATCAGAAGATCACCTTTGATGAAGAGAAGTCATAGCTCATCTGGTTTGCAGACAAGCCCATCGCAGATAAGAATAAAACAGGAGAGACAAGACTCGGTAGGGGAATACTCTAGCTGTACTGGTATCAAGAAACAGGTATGTTTTTAATTACAAGAATTTTTCAGCTATATTTATCTTATGAAATAAGTCAGTAAGACTTATCCTATGTCATTGTATTATGTTCTGGTATCAAACATGTTTGCATGTTTATTAGTCATTATTGATCTAAAGAAAGCTTACCAAATTTCAAGACATCATCAAAAAGATAGCTAAATTGAAGGTATTCAGAATAGAAATATTCCAGTCAATATTTTTAATTTTTGTCAGGTGTGGGATACTGTAGGTGTGGTGTATATTGTCATATAGCATGATAAGCATGCAAAAAAAAAAGTTTGCGAGACCAAAAATATTGATTGTTTGGGAGACTAAGAAATAAGTACTGGTATCCCTCAACAGAGAAAAGTGTTAATGTTGACTATGTGCAAGGGAAATTTGAAATAATCGTTGACTCCAGTATATATACATCATTCTCGATTAAMCTTGTCTGTCGAAAATTTTATTAGACTTTTCCCGACTTTGCTTGAGTGGCCACTAAACAATGACTTCAAGTCGAGTTTGTTCTTGATAAAATACAGTAAATGATTGAACACATAAAGTTCAACCTCAACATGGGGCCATTGTTTCAGGGTCACTTAAGCAAATTCAAGAAAAGGCCTGTTAAGGAGAGTACAGGTGGTGTGGGCTGGTAAATCGTCACATCTCACCAATTTGTCCTAGGTTTCATTCCTGGGCTTGGTGTGGTATGTGAGTGAAGAAGCTTGTTTATTTTTTCTAAATTGTAGCTCAATAGCTTTTGCCTAATGTAGTGCTTAGGGCTCTGTTGTGACTGTCATGCTGTGATAAAACAGCCCAAGCTAATAGTTAAGCTTTGATTAAGACAAACCAAAGACAGATCTATGTATATAGAATAATTTATTACAACTGTAAGTTAACTATGACATTTACGCTGCCTGGTGCAGTCATGTTACAGAGAGAATTGGATATTTTTTATTATACTTCTAATTTATGAAGATTTAAAAGAACTCATTATGTAGAAAAACTATCAAATATCATATTTGATTATAACCCATTTTCCCCTCTGCTTTAATTTCATCCCCAGGCTGCTAAAATACCTGTAGAATATGGCATGTTGCTTTAGATATTGAACTTTGATTTTCCCTTCGATTTAAATATGGTGAAAATTATTTATTCCTTGCTTTGCAGAAAACCCTTCCCTTTTTAAACATATTTTGTAGCATATTTAATACATCTGTATATTAATTACATGTTAATTTTGCGTTTCTTTGTCAAGAATATGATAAATTTTGTCATTACTGAAATAACAAATAATTTATGCTCGATTATTTTATTATTAGAAAATCATTTCCATTTAAACATTGTAGGATATCTTTTATAAAATGACATGCAAGCAGATGGAGTTCTTTGTTTCCGCATTAACAGGTGCTGATCTGTGCCAAGCATCACTCTAGAATATGTGTGTGTAATTTTCCTTTTAGCTACATATTTTATATATTTTCATGAATATATCTAAATCTAAATGGTGTTTTACTCTAGAAAATATTTAATTCTAATATCAAAGGTGTAAGAGCTCTTATTTACATTGTATGTAAGCATGTAGAATTTACAGGTCTACAATATTATAAGCTTATATGTTTTTATAATTCTTTTACTGAATCATCATCAGCATCTAAGAGTACTTTTCAAAGCAAGAGTGAGCCTTATTTAAAACACGTAAAGAATCAAAGTAAAAAAGGTTTGAAAAATTAAGAATTAGCTAGGACGTATCCATAATATATCAACTACCAGAATCCTTTGCACACTTTCTTTTGTTCAGTCAATCAGCACTAATTGTCTTAAAATCCCCATGAAGGAATAAAAAATTGAAAATGGAATGTTTTTGAAGTAATTAGGTTTTGTTGGTTGAGCTGATTCCATGATAAAAATGGATATTGCAAAAAAATATGAARCAGCTGTGTTTGTTTAATATGTATATGTAATAGGACTCMATGCTGTCCAATTAAGAAATAATTGGACGAGGAAAATTCCGAGGACTGACAAAATTGGATGGGGCCGTATGCCGAGTCCAATTTGGCAGTCAGAGGAATTTTTCGAGTCTAATTATTTCTTGATTGGGGAGCATGAAATCCCATTACCTATTAATTATATTGCTGCCTAATTAATCCCATATTAACAAGACCTGTCCAATTAAGAAAATAATTGGACAGTTTCTTATGTGGGATTAATGAGAAGATGTATAATTATGAAATTAATGGTAATACAATAATCATATCCTGTGTAATTGTTACTACGCTTTTTTTCTTTAGTAAATATAGATTCTTTTCCTTCCTTCTTACCTATCTTTTTCCTTTTAAGTGTGTAACATTTTAGTTGCATGTAACCCAGTTTTGATTTTAAAAATGGATTTTGTTTCAAGAAGCTAAGGCCCATATTAAACGCCCAACTTCACATGAGCCAAACCTAATATCATCAAAGAAGACCGCCTAGTTATCCATTGTTTTAATTTAGGTTTGACTCGTGAAGTTTTGACGTTTGACCTGAGCCTTATAAACCAAGTTTTTTGTTAGAATAAGACTAGTTTTTTTATTGTTATTTCCTTTCTACTTATCTCTTTTTTTTAAGCAATTTGTATCATTTTATTTGCATATAACCCTGTTTTGATGTTGCTTAAATGGAGTTATTTTCAAGAAGCCAATAAACCTATTTTGTCATTAGAAAAAGAGTTATTTTATTGTACATGTTTTCCTTCTTCCCTACTAATCTTTTTTTATTTTGACTAATGTGAACCATAATTTTGCTTTTAACCCTGATAAAAAATTGAAGTCATTTTCAAGAAGCTAATAAACCAATTTCGTTGTTAGAATTTTAAACAATTTGTAATAAAAAAATTAAAAAAATTCTTTGACCAAAATTTTTTCAAAAGAGCAGATACATGAATGGGACAAAATATGTTTTTCACACTGAAAAAAAAGACATTCATTGGTGAAAGAATCTAATCAGATTTTTACAAGATTATCTAGCTGTCAGAAAAGTTGAAGATACAAATATAATGTAGTTGGGACAAATGTCCATTTTATACCTTGAGAAGATCAAATTCATTGGAAAAAGGGTTTCATCAGGATTTCTTTAAATTTACTTAAGCATATCAAAACACATCCAAACACTTGGCAGGTGTCTAAAAATGATAAATTTAACTCAGTTAACTTAGTTCAGGTTTTTAGTTAAATAATAGAATGCACAGTTAGTCTCGTAGAGCCTGGCAAGTTCAAAGAATCAAAGAATGTTAAAAAAATGAAGGAAGAAGAAAACAGAAACATTACGGTTTAGAAGACCATCTTTTTTTAGGCCTTTAATAAATTCAGAAAGATTTTAAAATAGCTTCCTAAATAGATTAGTTTTTTATAAGTATAAGTTTGGCTTTTTAATATTCTTAACTTGTTTTTATCCACATATTGTAATTTACATTTACTTACTATATATATATATTATATTTTTTTCTCTCATAATAATGTAACATTGGTTTGTTCTTAATCAATGAAATAAAGATATTATATATGTATTTCTATAGGAAGTAGAATATTTTTTATTAAACCAAATATCTTTCTATAGAGTGTAAAAAGTTTTAAAACCTAATTGTACATGTGCTGCTAGTAGGTTTTCGAGGACCCTTTACATGAAATAACAAAAATAAACTCAGTAAGTTTAAACACTTGAAATAAACCATAAACTATAATTTATTCCATGTGTTTTTCTGCATTTTAAATGCCGTCTTGAATTATAGCAAACGTTAGACCATTACAATATAAAATATAAAAATTATAAATAGGATCACTGGATTACTGATTAACTAGGATTCCAAAAGCTAATGATAAATTAATTAAAATCAAAGGCTCATGCCAACCTATTAAATAAAATCAACAAAAACTTTGAATAAAACTATAATATTCTATACAATTAAAATATGTTTTGTACACACAAGCATACAAATTGTAGTTGTAAAAACAGGGCTCCACCTGCGTTAATATAATGACGATATATATTTAATCAAATAAATGGTCATTTAATCAACGCAGATATTTTTTACAACTACAATATACAATCTATTCCAGTAACAGGAAGTTATCTGTTTTATTATGTCTACAGATCTGACTGTGCTGTACAAGAAATTCCTGTTTCCCAACTTGAAATCAACTTGTAATAAATTTAATTTACATTTCAATCCTTTTTTATCGAATAATGATAAGATATGAAGTGAATTCTTGTGAATATAACATGTTTAAACAAGAATAATATCAGTTACGGTGGATATTGGTTTAAACTTAACTGCTTAATTATTGGCCAATTATAATAATGAGTTCTTACGTATTGGACCAAAAAATTTTGCATTTTATGAACAAACAATCTTAAAATCTTACAAAAACTAGACTTCTTTTTGAATTGAGAGATGCAAAACATTTGTACTAGCAAGAATACTTGCATGAACTTTATTATAAGTTTGGTCTTCTAGCATAATCTCTTAAAGTAGTACACTAATTGAGAATCAAAATCTACAAAAAATAATGTTATATAACAAGTTCCATTTTTGGACTGCTATTTTATTTTTCCATTTTCATCATTTYTCATACATTTAACTCCATGAATCAAAAAAGCCCTTATTTTATATTGTAGCTGTTAACATTTTCAGCTTTAAGATAGCAAAGTTTATCCTTTCCACTTGCCTCTAGGGACCATAAAACAGTTACAAAGTAATATTGATGTCTATGTATTTAGCAAAGCTATCAGAAGTTGAATATCAGAACTCCTACAAGTTCTATTATTGCTAAACAAGTCTTAAGGTTGTCATATCGAAATCAGACTTTTTCATTACAATTTAAAACTGAAAAACTACATTACAGGAAAAAGGTTTTGTATAGTAAACTACAACCCCAGCCTTTGATTTAATGTTTGCACTTACAAAAAGTCATGATCCATAACATATCAAGGACCTAGTAAATCAAATAAGAGTGTCAAAACCATGTTGTTATTATAAAGCTAAACAAAGTTGAACAATAGACATTTATTTTGACAAAAGTGTTCCTAAGCTGTGATTAAACTTCCTAAATACTCTAGTTAAACCACTTGACATGTGACTTCAAAATAATGATCTTTCATGAAGAATTTTCCTGTTATGAAAGAAAAAAGCTTGCATTTGACCTTTGGATGTCTTTATGATTGTGTAATTGTGGTTTTACATGTGGTCCACACCTGTCCTGTTTATCTTACACTGTCATTTATTAATAACTAATGTAATGAGTAAGATTAAATGAAAGGTCATCACTATATCTTAACCTTTAAAAAAAAACCTGTTATTGAGTGAGTATCTTATTGTAAAATGAAGTAAAAACTAGAGAAAATACTTGTAACAGAGTGTTTGTTTAGTGTCTGAGAGTTATGATAATATATCTGAAAAGGTACTATAAAACAAGTACTATTTAATACTGAATAGCACGTCTGATAAATAAATATATATATACATATATAACCAAGGTTTTCATTAAGTGTCAGAGATTGGAGAAATCTTTGTCAATTGAGCAGATTCTCTGGCTTAAACTGCCATGATCTTCTATTATTTTAAAAGTATTAATGAAAAGCCTGGAACTATTGAGTAGAGTGCTTTAAAACTTTGTAAGAAATTGCACAAATTTGCACCAATTAGTAAGTTCAGTAGACCTCAGTAAACCATCATAAACCTACAAAACTTATTTTGTACAATTTTGTTAGCTAATTTTTTCACAGATATATGGTATGCACTCTACTACAGGTATTTAGTGCAAAAGAAATCACTGTTTCACAGTGTGAGCATATTAACCATGTCACGGTTATTTTCATAAGAATATATTTTCCCAAAATTAATGAGAATAAAAATATCTTGGAAAGAATTTTTTCATTTTTTTAACTATAAGACGAAATTTGTTGTTTGTTTTCCAAGTGATTTCACTTCTCTCAGCCCAAACTAATTAGCCAAACAGTAAACAGTTTGTTCATAGATCAACATTTCCTAGTTCCAAGTTTCGGCTTGAAAAAAATTACTTAAAAAAAAGAAAAGAAAACTCATAGTTGGAAAGATTTAACAAATTTCTTAGAAATAGCATATTTTGTTGGTGGTGGTGGTAGAAAAAAAATATTTCTTTTACTAAATACTTGGAAATTTTCACTGTGACAAACAATGAATTGTGTGCCTAGATTCCAAATCAACTGGTTTAAAATATAAATGTTTTGATCCATGACCACAGATCTTCCTAGAACTATGTCAAAGGGAAAAAGAAAAGTATTCTATTTACTATCAGGGGATTGCTTCAACAACAAAAATCATGCACATTTTTATGCAAAATAAGACTGAAAATGTATTTTGATGCGTTTCAGGTCTCGTTTCATTTTTGTTGACAAACGCTTGCTAAATATTAATTGGCACCCACATTACAATGCTTTGGATCCAAATCTGAGCAGTTACGTGGGTTATAGAATATCATAATGCAATGCACTTTGCTGACAAGGGCTCCAAAATATTGCCACCCACAACGAAATGCTTGCATGGGACCCAAATGTTAACATTCCTGTGAAATTCGGGACTTGGATTGAAAAACACCCATAATATTGTCTTGTCCCTGGTCCTCTAGGTTGTGGATTAGGCACAGAGATAACTACTCCACCCTGTAAAAAGTGCAGTGTTACAGAAACAAAAAAAAAATTTATATCGATACAACCCAAATTAGTGTTACAGAAACCAACATAACTTTAAATCGATAGTTCAGGGTGCTGCTACTGAGGCAGCAATGATGGCCTTATGCACCTTCTGGTGTGAAAAGCAATGATGATGATGATGATGATTAATCCACATTTTAGATTATTAAAATTCTAGCAGGATACTGAGAGGCTTTCCAGATCATAATGTTCTAATTGCATTACTGCAATTTTCTTAAAGATGCAAACTCTGTGTCTCTGAGTTGCACGCTTAAATTTGGTTTTTCACTGCCGCCCGTCAAAAATATGAAACGTACCGACTGATTAGGTTTGATATATGGCAGTGAAAAACCAAAGTGTGCAGCTCGCAGACATAGAGTTCACATGTTTGTGAAAATCACAGTTAACCTCACAAGTATCAGTAGATATAATACTGTAGGTCTGATTATAACATTCAGTAGATATAATACTGTAGGTCTGATTATAACATTGTGGAGTAGTGAGCCGGCTACTGAAATTTTCTTAATATTTCCAAAAAGTAGGAACATTATAAATGTTACAATATCTCATTCATACCAATAAATGTATTTGGTGATCCACCTGCTTGTACTATACATTAAGTACCATACAACTAAAGCCTCATGGTCAAGTTTGAATTTCAAGGGAACATTCATTATTTACTGGGGGAGGGGGCTGGGTGAGAAAAGGAGGGGCCTCGAAAATGTTTCATGTACAAAAGGAGGGGCCCTGGAATTTTCTTATGGATTTAAGGGAGGGGACTTGAAATTTCAGATGAAGGTCTGAAGATACTGAAGGGGGGTCTTGAAAAAGATCACTTTCTTTGTTGGGGACCCCTTAAAAAATGGGTGCCTTTTCCAATTTCTCACCCATCCCCCTCCCCCAGTTAAATAATGAACGGTCCCACTTGCCTTTTCCAATTTCTCACCCATCCCCCTCCCCCAGTTAAATAATGAACGGTCCGAAAGTTATCAAATGTGGCATGTATGGGTTATATCTGGCATCCTGTACTAAAGCTTCCATTTTTGAATTTCTACCTGCAGCAAGAAGATGCAGCAAGTGGTGAGAGCGGAATAGATGAGGAAAGCACCAATGAGGACTGGTGTGCAGTGTGTCGTAATGGAGGAGAATTGTTGTGTTGTGACACCTGTCCACGTGTGTTTCATCTGCAGTGTCACGTACCTGCTGTCACACAGACACCAAGGTGAGGAAACAGTTGATAACGGTGATGGTAACACTCCAGTTTCAAATTCTCTGTTCTACAGGGTTAACTTTGACTTTGTACAGAATAGGCCTTTTGCAACAACAGGTCACGTGACCCTACCCCCCATATAAAGAGATGTTGTGTCAAAATGAACACCAAAAATCGAAAGAGCACCTCAATATTAGTAACAAAGAAAAGCTTATAGCCAATACTTTCGACTATAGGAGAAATGGCATGGAATATAAAATTGAATATTTTATAAGGATTTGTATGGGAAAATGTGCTGGATGGCATGGTAGCGATGGCATAGATCCTTATAGAATATTTGATTTTGTATTCAAAACCATTTTTCCTGTGTTACATGTTATAAGCTGAAACTTTGTTTTCTTACTAATATTGAGGTGCTCTTTCGATTTCTGGTGTTAATCTTGATACAATGTCTCTTTTTACGACTGGTAGGGTCATGTGACCTGTTGCTGCAAAAGACCTATTACTTTGAATATTCCTACATTCAAGTGAGGGTCAGTGGAATTTCAAAGTGTTTGTATTGTTGAAGTTGTGCATTCTTTACTTTACCATTGCTATTTGTGAATATTTAGATACTGAAATAAGACTAACCCTGTGAAAATAAACAAGTCTGTGATAGAGGAACACAGCAGTTTTTGACTAATTTGAAATTAATGGTCTATTCATTTTATGGTGATAGAGCATTTTTTTATTAGACTGTGAAAAAATTATCTGCCCTATGCTTGCCTTTAATTTGATGTTCTCTAGAATTTTGATTGACAGATATTTTTAATGTGCAATGTGATTGGACTGGCATATTCCTGCCTGGCAGTGTCATGAGCAAGCTCATGCTGCGGGGAAAAGTTCATGCTGCAAGCTTTTTACAATATTATATGAAAAAGTCTGCTCTCGTCCTAATTAATGATTCGGTAAAGGGATGATGATGATGGTGATCTTGATGATGATGGTAGTGATGATGATGATGATGGTGATGATGACGTTATTAAAGTGCTTATAAGCCTTTGCACAATATTTTCAAAATTGATTCTTTAGATAGTGGATAGTAGATACTATGACATAACATTAGGGATTTGAGTTAAATGGTGCAAAATTTAATATTGAACGCTGGACATTTTTTGAAAACAAATTTGTAAGAACCTTTACGTGAGTCACTAGTAAAAGGGGGATGCTTTTAAAATACTGTATTCCAGAATGAGTGTAGTGTTGTATATTAAATGATCCCTTATGTTACGTCATAGTCATTAATATATTGAGAATATAAACCTTCATATGTTAAAGACCCGACATTTGACGAATTATTTTCTCAATCAACTATTCACTATTTTAAAGAATCAATTCTGAAAATATTGTGTAAAGGCTTATAAGCACTTTAATGTTGATAATGATGATGGTGGTGGTGGTGGTCATTAGTGGTTTGGTTGTCAAAATGATGATAAATCATATGGTGGTATGGTGGAGATCTTGATCACGAAAATTATAGTAATGATAATCAAATAATGATAGTGGTGATGGATGGTAGATTTGGTGATTATGATGCAGGGCTTAAAATAATGGCCCATAAGTCGCCGGTCATGACTACCATCCAAATTAGTTTAACTGATCAAATTTACCAGCAAGGCTGGTTTGACCGGACAAGTTCCAATTCTGGGTGGATATTGTCCGATATCCAGCTATTATTTTAATTCCTGTTGGTGGTGAATTTAGTGACAAAGATGAAGATGAGTATAGTAATGTTAGTGGGTTTTGTATTTGAAGCAGAGATGGGAATCCGAATGAGGTAAAAAATTAATTTAAAATACTTTAAAAATGATAATTTTTTGTTCTGTATTTTTTTAGTGATAGTTGGAGCTGTGGTCTATGTCTCCAGTTAGATGCCAAAACATTACAAGGTAAATAATTTATTCCTATTCACTTTAATTAGCTGATGCCCTAAATTCAGAGGAATTGGTTTGTGTATGATGGAGGATTGGATTTTCTTCTCAAATGTTATTTCAAACCTGTTCAAAGGTCACAAAAGACATTAAACTTGTGAATGAGTTGATGGCTTTGAAATTGTTAGATTTTACTGATTTCTCATCAACCTGTATTTTCCCCTCCTATATAGCCTGCGTAGCTGCCCAAAGGGAAGGGAAGGGCCGCTATGCAGGCTACGCAAGCTACCACCTATGATGATTACAATGTAGACTCTCAAACCTTTGGCCTTAAAAAGTCCTTTATGATAAATAATTCATATTAATTAACTCTTCTATAGACTTTTCTTAGATAGCGTATATGGTGCATTGTGGTCTAGCTTGGCTACAAACATCTTTTATTCAACATGGCCTTATATGGTGTTGTTTGTACCCAAGCTAGACCACAATGCATCATGTTGATAGAGCTCACAAAAAGACTATTGCTCATCATCTGATCGTGTATGTGAATAACTGGGTTTGTTTTTATTTGTTTATTTTTATTTTTTTCATTAAAAGCTGAGTCAGCAACCTCATTAGTACAAGGTCCAAACAAACGACGAACATCTTTATCAGGACTAATGGACTGGGAAAGAAAGGTATTGAGTCTTGTAAAATAATAATAATAATAATGATAATAATAATAATGATAAACTTTTATCAATTGGCTGACTTTACTGGAATAAAAATAGTCATCTGATTTACAAGTGAAGGTGATTTTTTTTAAATAAAATCTTATGGATATATGAGGAGTAAATGATAATATAAATGAATGTRTAAATCTGGATAGATAATTAGTGTTGTTTCAATACATTTCAGTTTCCATTGTCTATACTGCGCATCAAAACCAACATGTATTGAAACGACTCACTTTTGCTTAAAAAGTACGGAATGTCTCAGTTTTGCCAATTTTCTCAATTCTCATTGGCTAAATTTGTTTCTAAGATCAGCTTGAAAGTGTGCAAATGGCAAAAAATGAACCATGATTATATTTTTTTAATCAGTTATTAAAAAAGAAAGGATTAAAATAATAATCTTTTGAGATGTTTGTCTTCAGATATGCGAGAAGATGTTACTGGAGCTCTTTTGTCATGCTGATAGTATACCATTTCAACAGAAAGTCAGTAAATCTGTAAGTACTTGGCAGTCTATTCCTCTTTAGACACTCTAAATTGGTCTACTCTTATAAAGTTAAACAGTCATAATCAGTGGTGGATCCAGGGGATGGGTGCAGGGGGTGCGCACCCCTCCCTGGTTCAACTTTGTGCCCCTACGTCAAAGATTTAATCAATACAAAATAATGTTTTTTCACTTTGATTCTAAGGGGTGCACCCCTCCCTGGGTTAACTATGTGCGCTGCACCCCTCCCTGAACAAATTCCTGGATCCACCCCTGATAATGAAGAATGAAAAGCAGGGTTGCCAATTCTCCCAGATTAGCTGGGAGTGTCCAGATTTTGGACCTTGTCTCCCAGTCATTTTTCCCCATCATTTTTTATTTGGACAGCAGTTGTCAGTGTAGTGTTTTCCCTGTCTTGGCAATCCATTTGCCATCAGTGGTCATAAGGTGTATCTTGTCAGCATTCCTTTTTTTTTAGTATGTCATAAGTTATTTTTACTGTTTGATTACTTTAATATCATAGCAAAAGGCCATGTTTTATTTCCAAACATCCAGACTTGAATGTCAGGCTTTATTAAAATTGTACTTAATGTATAGTACAAACAGTGACCTGGATACCAAATACATTTATTGGTAGAAGTGAAATAATGTACCATATGTACAACGTTCTTACCTTTCGCCAATAATAAGGAAATGTTGGTAAAAATGCTAGTCATTTCACTGTACTAGTCTAGTACTGGTCCTTTTTCAAGAGCTTTAATGCAATTTTGAACTTTTTATTCTGGAGAATTCTGCTAGAATTTTAATATCTTGAATTTAAACATGGCCTATTGGATCAAACAAGTAATGGAAAATACTACACTGAAAACTTTTGTTTGTTCAACTGAAATTTAATATACCTTTTACTTTGATTTGTTGGACCATATTTTGGCTGTATTGATCTCATAATTATGCATTTTGTGTGTGTAGGTCCCCAACTATTATAAGGTCATAGCCAACCCCATGGATCTGTCAACCATGCGAGCCAAACTCCAGCCCCAACACTTCCAGCATTACTCAAGTATCACAGAGTTCCTCAGGGACTGCAAGCTTATCTTTCAAAACTGTCAGACATTCAATGATGTGAGTATTACTTTCTCAAGACATTATATCCTTACTTTGGTTTTCATAACATGCACTTTTTTGTCACCACTAGTAGCTCAGCCATTCAAAGTGCAGGATTTGTGATAGAACATTAGTAAGCTTAGACTTTGATTCACAGATATCTGGCTTTTTGGCTTCCTTCATTCAAATAAACTTTCCAGTGATCTCTGAGTTAGTAATTTTATGATTGATGGAAAGCCAAAGACCCAGATGTCTTGGTCTATATGTTGCCAGGTCAATTACCACTGTTTTTATTGGTGCACACTCAATGAAGTAAACAATACCTGTGCARCTTTATATACTCTATAATGTTTTATTTGATTGACAGTTAGTAGTCTATTGGCCTATATCCCTGTCAAGAGCAACATTTGTCTCAGTCAATGCATAGTATAAACAATGAAAATGGGTAAAATGTCAACAAAATAACAGAAAGGGTTTTTTATCTTAAGCCCATCCTGATACTTAGAAAATGCATTTACATTTGCATTAGATCATATATTTTAATGATTTTTGCACTATATAAGTAATAAAATAATTAAAATTATTATTATTTGCATTTATTCTATTTATAGGAGAATTCTGAAGTCGGTCGAATGGGAAATAACCTTGAATTGTATTTCATGACCATGGTCCAGAAGTACCTACCAGATGATATTGAAGTACCTGATCTAGAGCCAGTGATAAAGAAGAGAAGAGAGGATCCAAAAGCATTCATACATAGCTTATGAAGCACCTAATCAAGGACATCTTTTATAAATCTAATTATTGATAATAACTATACGAAAATTACATTTCCGCAGAGCTGGTCTTGTCAAATTGTTCAATAGTGTACATATTCAGAATGGTCATGGAAGTAGGGCTTTCCCAAGGTTTTTTTTTTTTGGTTCAGCATTGTCACATTATTATGTAGTCTGTTTTCTTACTAACGGAAGGCGGGGGAGGGGAGAGCAGTTGCCAATTCCATTTCCCACTCAGAACTTTTCTGAAATGCCAGCTTCCAAACTTTTTTCTTTAAGAGCATTTTCCCATTTTGTTGTATTTTTGTTTTTGTTGTCTTCTTTCTTTCTTTGTTTTTGTTTTTGTTTGTCTTTGTTTTTTGTTTTGTTTTTTTGTTTTGTTTTTATTGTTGTTTTTTTTTTGTTCTCTTTTTTCATTCTCGTTGCCCTAAATCCCATTTTTCCTCAACTTTGTTTCTCCAGCCCACAGTCACTACCTTTTTGTCTCATTTCCCCAATCTTGGTTTTTCTGTTTCCAAGTCATTTGCCGAATATCTCTTAGGCCAGTCCTCTTGATGATGGTCCTCAGATTGATGGGTCACATGTTGTTCACTCCAATGTGGCTGGTCAATAGATCCAATCATTAACAAACAGCCTCTGTTTTTAGCCCTCATATAAAGAAATTATTCAAAGGAAAATTCAAACAAGTGTATTCAAGACATCCTTCCGCATTTAAAATAATAATTGTGTTTTATAAGAGTATTTGTCATAAATTCAATGTGTAGTCATGTCAAGAGAAGGTGAATTGGACTTTTTTTTACCCATTCAATTCAATAGCCCCTTTGCAGTTCCTCGGAATGCAGCTCAACTTGGAGGACAAAACAATCCAATTCTCAGGAAATTGAAATTCTTTCGTTTTGTCCTCTAATGCTTTATCCTTCTTTGATGTTGCATGTGAGGAGTCTGTAGGGCATAGTTTTTTGACTTTTACTGACTGGCAAACATTTGTAATAGAGGCTTTGCACCAGCACATGATGGCCGTCGCAGTGACAGGTGGCAGGAACAATTGAATCTGGTCTAATCTGGTTGACATGAGAAAGAATTCAGTTTCCTAGGGGATGGCTGCCATCATGTGATGATGCAAAACTATTTCCTTATTTATTGTTTTTGCTGATCCAAATTAGAGTGCATAATAACATATAAATATCTGTGAAAACGTTAACTAACAAAATCATACAAATTAGTGCAAAATTTTGTAGGTTTACGGTTTACTGAACTTACTTATTTGTGCAATTTCTTTCAAAAAAAATTCAGGGATATATGATATGCACTCTACTAATGTGATCCTTGTTAATAGATTCATTTGTTATAAGGTATATCATAAACACCATTGTGACTGTTCTGTGCTAAAGAGCCGGTTCAGACTGCTAGTATTATTTAGTTTCTTGTTTGACATGGCTTGGGAAAAATGGTGTTATTTCAAACATTCAACCCTGATGTTTTTAGCTAGGATGTCAAACTCAATGGATCTCGTGACTAAGTTTATATATTTTGTTGAAGTCACTTTTTCCAAAAGTTTAAAAGATTACAACTTTAAGATCTTACACACCAGACATGTAAATATTACGATTGTGAATTAATATTCGTTAAAGAATTCAGAAGAAACTCAAAGTACACTGTAGGCTTGTAGTTTTATTGTTTTATTTTTTTCAATGTATGGGTTGCCTGTGTTAAGATGGGACATCAAATGTATGGCAGGGGGGGGGGGGCAGGTGAAATTTAGGGGGGATCGGGGAAAAGTATTAAAGTTAGAGTACTAAAGTTTGACAACGCAAAAAAATAAATTTCGATTTAACCAATTTTAATGAGAATATTAGGGGGGATCGGGAACATTTTTACCAGTAAAATGAAGGGGGGGTTGAATAATGTTCTCAGAGAATTAGGGGAGATGCAAAATTTTTAGAAGAAGCTACGAAAGATTGCCCAGGGAGGATAGTTATTTTGGGGGGACTTCAAGGAGGGTCTTAAGAATTTTTTTGTCATTTAAAGATTTCCCCTGCCCTTCCCCCCCCCCCCCTGCCATACATTATGAGCGCAGCCTTATCTCTTGCTCAGTATAGAGTACTAAAGTGTGACCACTAAAAAATAAACCTTGATTTTTAACCAATTGTAATGTATTAGCCGAGATATGACCATCGAATATATAATTACCCCATACAATTCATTGTATTTTCAGCTTGGTTCAAGACGTTCAAACTAAAAGACAGTGATGTATGGGGTAATAATATATTCAAATGACCATATCTCGGCTGATATTCTCATCAAATTTGGTGTGTAAATGTCCCTTGATTGTCTATTGAAATTTTTAACCAAAAATATAATCTAACAAAAATAAATTTTTGACATCACTTGAGTACTCTATTAGCCTCAATTGTGTGTTAAATATTCAGCACTGAGAAAAACCTGTGCAAAAGGCCCTTTGCAGCTCAGTGATCACGTGCTGAACAAGGTGTAAACTCTGCCTTTAAAACATTAAAGTGAAACACGGACACTTAATTTGGTTAGTGGTAAAAAGCATTAAATTGTCAACAAGAAATCTTGTTAACGTGTTTATGGCACGTAGCACATATTTTATTTACAGTTATTCTCAACAGCACACAATTTTACAATTTGCTGTCATGACTAAAGAGTTTTAGTGGATGACAAATATTTGACAGTCAGAAAACACAGTTTCGTTCAAGGATGTGCCTATGTATGTAATGGAAACACCTTGATCATTGTCATGACATTTCATTACTATTTTATACCTTGGTTAACTTTGTAGGGTCTCATACAACAAAGACCCAGCACATTTTAATCATGTGATAGAGTAAAAACGATAAATCTGTGAAACACTAAATAGTACAAAATAGTGCTAGAACAATAGAAAACATTGGAATTTTGCATGAAATTGTGCTCTTTAGTTTTACTAAATTTTCACGGTTAGAGTGCAAACAATATAACCGCGAAACTTTAGCAATACTAAGTACCCCAATTTCATGCAAATTCCATTGTTTAATTAGCACTATTTTGTACTATTTAGTAATTAGTGTTTCACAGATTAATTGTTTGCACTCTATACTTTTTCCACTCTACCCAGTCCAGGAATCAAACTAGAGACTCCAGAAAGGGTTGAGGGAAGTGCTATGCCACACCCCCTTCATCTGCGTGGTGCCCCTCCGGTGTTGGGGGATTGGGGTGGGGGAAAAGGTACAACACCAGAGGGCCGCTATGAAGGCTAAAGTACAACACCCTTGATCCCCAAATGACAACAACATCAAGTAGGTGTAATTGTTTTATTCATTTATACAAAGACCAATTTTCCTCAATGCTTATGCCATGAGTACACAAGCACCACCAACTGCCTTGATTTTATCTTCTGCTCGCCGACTGAAAAACTTGGCCTTGACAATGACTGGTTGTTTAGGGAGAAGACCTTTGCCGAGAACCTTGAAGTATCCCTGGTAAACACAGAGAAGAATTGGTATGAAATACATTGAAGTCAATGGGCTATTAGCCATTGAGTAAAAGACCGAGTTGAATTGGATTTCAAATTCCAACCCACAATCAATCTTAAGCAGTAGCACAAACCTTCTTCACTATCTCAAAAGAACAGACCTTCTACCATAAAAACCCGCACATAAGAACCTGTTAGGCTAAAATTTCATTTTTAAGCACCCTTCACATAAGAACCATTTTAGGCTAAAATTCTGAAACAGGTTCTTTTTTTAAAAAAAGAAGAAAGAAATAGAATCAATCATTTCAAATATATATTTATAACACAGTCTGTACAAAATAATGCTATAAACACTATAACTGTACGTGGTTACTGCAAAAAAATCCAACTGAAAATGAAACTTTATTTTATTTCTTGAACAAAAGTTAAGAACCTAATTAAGAACCTAGTTAGCCTAATTTAACACTAAATACCATTTATATAAGAACCTGTTTAGGCTAACTTGAAAAATCCTAGGTTCTCATAYGCGGATTTTTACTGTATCCTAACACATCGGACTAGAATACCGAAGACATGGGTTCGAATCCTGTCAAGGGCATTTGGTATTTTTCTCTTATTCTCTCTACTTCATTATATACACACCGAACGCATAATTTATTACTACTATACTATGTCTATTCTTTGCGTACTTATTTACGGTGTTCAACTTATCTATAGAGAAAAAATATCRCTCTGGGATCCTCATGAATACCCTACATTTCATATTCCGGCTGTGTTACCAGCGTGGTTGGTCCTTGTAGTGTAGTGGTTAACACATCAGACTAGAATACCGAAGACGTGGGTTCGAATCCTGCCAAAGGCATTTGATATTTTTCTCTTATTCTCTCTACTTCTATCCTTACCCAGAGCAACMGATATCTCGAAACTGGAGAATTATGAAAAATGTGTGCACATTTCAACATTTAACTTCGAAAATCACATGGTACACAGGGGTTTCATTAAGGTTTAGGTATCGGATTGATGCTCCAGTAAATGAGCAAAATTCTCCGGCCTAAACTACCATTTATAGCTTAATAATCTGTAAAATGTTCGTTCAGACTCTTTGGCTCGTTCAAGACATTCTATTATTTCAAAACTTAATGAAATCCCTGCTACACCAACAGTAGTTAACAAGATACTTACAGCTTTGACGACATCAATGACAGGTACTGGGCCATCCTTTTTGTTCTTGTAGTTTTGTCTGGTCTGTTCACTGACTAACGTCCAAACACGATCAAGATTGATGGATGGCTTGTGGTAAACATTCTTCTTCAAGTGGAAATGACGCATACCAACTTTACCAAAATAACCAGGATGGCTAGGAAATAATAAGACACAGCATCATTAATAAATGTGTGCAATTTTGTTTGACAGAGAACAGTACACAACAGTTTCAAAACAATAATAAATAATAAATAAAAATGTCAATGCAGCTTAATTTTGAAGACAAAACAAAGGGAGGAAAAACTGGAAATCTGTAAAAACCCTTGAAGTCAGAACAGACAAACCAACTTAGCTTCTATGGGGTGAATGCGATTCAAACCCTTGAACTCAGAGGTGAGAGGGGAGCGTTTTACCACTATGACTTCCTCAATCACCTATGATAAACTAAGTAAGATAAACTAACCAGGGACTATCTGGTAGCCTAGCCTAGTATGATAAACTAACTAGGGACCATCTAATAGCCTAGCCTGGTATGATTAACTAGAGACCATCTAATAGCCTAGCCTAGTATGATAAACTAACTAGGGACCATCCAATAGCCTAGCCTAGTATGATTAACTAGGGACCATCTAATAGCCTAGCCTAGTATGATAAGCTAACTAGGGACCATCTAATAGCCTAGACTATTCACCTTTTCGGTGCCAGCCGTCACATGGTATAAATTGTGTTGTATTGTGTTATGGTCACCAAGAAGTTCGGACATTGTTCTCGGATTTCCATACAAATGTACTGAATTTAAATGAACTATTTACTTGGTTTGTTTAGTTAGTTCTCTAAATACAAGTAAAATATCATTTTTCGRACTTGATTAAAGCTTTTCTTATTGCTGTTATCAGAGCTAACTAAAGAAATCTATCTACATTTTCTCTTTAAACTCAGCAAATTTGTATGGGAATCCGAGAACGATGTCCGAACTTTTTGGTGACCATAACACAATCCAACAAAGTGTTAACAACGTGATGGTTATCACCAAAAAGGTGAATTGAGCAGACACTAACTGGAAACATGAAAACCCAAAGTTTCCAACATGAGTGAATCACGAACAAGCAAAAAGCAAAAAAGGCAAATATCTGGTGATATGTCTGATATAAAACTTGTTATCAAAAAAATCAAACAAGAATTAATTCATTACACTCTTATCACTTTTTTCTAGTACAAATGAAGAATGAAATACAGTTGTAGACACTTGATTAGATGGTTTAAACCCTCTGTGATAGAGGAGTTTCACAGAAACCATATTATAAGGCAGGGTCAATGCAATTGATGGTTTTTATGGCAGCCATGTTGAATGAATTTAACAAACGATTCATTACTAGTCTCTTTTGTTGTTATATCATCCAACATGGCCACCATGTCTTTGGTAATTAAATACTCTTGGGAATGATTGAAAACCAGCAATACTTTTGCATTACTCAAAATAGAATATTTTCCAAAGAAGAAAACTTCTATTGTCCTGCCCAACGACATGGCTGCCACGAAATAATCTATTAAGGTATGAACCCTTCCAAAACAACGACAAACACCGCAACAGATGTGTTTTACTTTTTCTAAAAATAATATTATTAGGGTCTAATGCCTCCGCTGGTAAACATCGGAAGGATTGTAAAATTAAAGAAAAAAAATAATTGATTTACAAAACCAGACTTACTATTTATCGAAGTTAATTCGGTGGTGATGTTGTCCACCAGCGTTTCCACGACCTCCGGGATGTTTGCGGTGCTTTCCTGTTAACAATTTAACGTAATTATTACTCAATTGCTCCTAAAAATATATAGCAAACGTTAAATACACTCACCAACACGGCCGTGGCCATGGCTCACATGGCCTCTAAGCTTTCTGGTCTTCTTTAAACGGGCAGTCTGGGGAAAAGGTTAGATTGTCATTAATTCTAAGTCTATTTGATGAAAAAATTAGCATCAAATCATAGAGTAGTTATCAGCCTTTCGATATGAATTGCTTTATTTAGGATATTTTAAAATATAACTAAGATGGAGATGGATGTAAAGTTATGAATCTATAAACCTTCGTTACCCACCATTTTGGAAAGGGAAGAGAGGAAGAGAGAACCAACTGCGCAGACTCGGCCTCATTCCCCCTGAAATTTAGCAGTCGGTAATTCTCCGCTTACGAAACTTTACGAGTTTTTACGAACGAGCTACGAATTTCAAAAATGAGTATCCGAATTATAGCCGACGTTCTTCAAAAGCTTCGACAAAGGTACATATTTACGGCATGGCGACAAGTTGTAAAGTATCTTTAGAAGATCGAAAAAACCAAGCTTACGATTTATGCAAAGAATATCTTGGAGGCAGCTGGAAGGAGGTTTCTTTTGAGGAATTTCATATTAAAATTCTTTCGTAAGTGTTGAATAATCATTCGAAGCTTACGTGTTCTGCAAATCCACTTTGGAGTCGACAAAATATAGAACAAAATGAATGGATTTGAGGGCATTTTTAGTCAATAAGAATATTCGTATTTCTTAGCTTAACACGTATATGTGTGTATAACATATAGTTCAGTATATTTGATATTTATGTTTATTGGTAGATTAGAATTTAGATGTCCAGCTCAGGTTACTAGCTGACAACGCTATTCAAATGGAATGCGTTAATGGCATGATAAAAATATCAAACTGTTAGCACCGAAGTGTGACGTCACGAAAAACAAAATTTTGCTTTTGACAATTTTCGATCCTCAATTTCGATAGAACATCAAGAAAGACGTTAACAAGCCAAATTTTAAGAATAACAGTTAAAAAGCAACGGAGATATGGCCGTTGAATATATAATTACAGATATTTGTAGGGGGTAATTATATATTCAAACGGCTGTATCCCTCTTGCTATTCAACCAATTCTCCTGAAATTTGGCGTGTTAGCGTCTTTCTTGATTTTCTATGGAAGTCGAGGTTCGAAATTATGATACATTGAAAAACGAACTTTAGCCATGAAAAGAGCAGCTCAACATTAATAAGAGGGTGAAGTTTCAGCTCATAATGCTGACTGAGAAATGGCATTAAATATGAAATGGATATGTTTTATAAGGATTTGTATGGGAAAATGTGCTGGATGGCAAAGCTTGCTCATAAAATAATTAGAAGAGCCCTAGGGTGTTGTGACCTGTTAGCACAAGTTGTCTATTAGCCCTTGAGTCCGAATGGGATTTGAGTGAATTTCAATGATTTGGTTTTCATACCTGGCACCTTTTGCTACTAGTAACTTATAACTTATAAGCCTAGTAGTAGCTCATCCAATCAGAAGGTAGCATTGATGATAAACCACTAGTTTGATTTGACTAAACAGATATGTAGAAAATGGATAAAACAGGAGAACCCACATAATAGCACTCATTTGATGAGTGTTATGTATTCAAAATAATCTATTGTATTATTTAGTACTATCTATTGTATTAGGAGCGATTCATTGTATTAAGGGACATAGCAAGGGTGGCCAAGGAGGCCCAGCTCCTCCCCTCCTTGCACTGTAAAAACCTAAACATCTATATGTAATCAGATCATGATACGTTTGGCTTAGCGATGCTTTGAAAATTGATGTGCAACCCCTCCTCCCCCCCCTCTCCTCAAGATTCTGGCTAAACCCCTAGTATTTTTATTAATAGATTACATCAACTGCCTGGTATGTAGCCCGGGGGGGGGGGGGTACTACCTTCCCAACTTGGGTAGGGGTGTGCCGCCAGGACCTCAAAACCCTGACCCTATCCCAGACCTAAAATTTTGATTTTACATACCCTACCCCAGACTAAAACTAAGAATTGTACACCCTATCCCAGACTAAGCCCGGTTACAGTCTATAGATTGCAATCAATATTTGTTAACGTTTTAATTGTTTTTGTGCCGGCAGAAAGCGTAGCCTATTCGCCAGACAAAAACGACCAAATCGTTAACCCTATCCCAGACTAAAATGACCAAATCTTAACCCTATACCAGACAAAATGCCAAAAAATTATATCCTACCCCAGACCCAAAAGCCGAAAAACCATACCCTATAGGGCGGCACATATCCATATAGCAAATATAGGGGAGTACCCCCCTATAGGCTCTGCCTTGATAAAACAGACATAGAAAACTCACCTTGGTCCCCCTAAGTCTGCTTAATCAATTTTCTATATATGTGTATCATTACAATAAAGTGKTTTTTTTATAAACCCATGAAATACACACTAGCCTGATACAAATTAGTAGACCCTAATGCCATTGTGTTCTTTTGTTGTCAATTCACTATTACATACTAACACTAATGGTATCTGTTTCAAGGGTTTATGAAAATCACTCTATAGCATTACAGTGTAATTGTTAGACTTATTATAATATCTGTTTGACAAATAATTTAGATGACATCCATGTTCTATAAAGATCTAGTATAAATTGTATTAAATTGTAGGTATTGTGTTGGAAAAAAATTGCTTATAAATGCATGAATAATGGATGAGTGTTTTACTTAAGACTACCACCAACCATTAGCACCAGCCCTTCTCGGACAAGGACTTAAAACCGTAGGCCCTGTCTGTCTTCACTATATAACCCTGTATAAGGCGGACGTAAAAGATCCACTGAAGACGCTGGTGATGACCATCTTCAGTGCCCGTGCTAAACACAAGAGGGCCACAAGTTAATCAGTTACCAAAATTACTGTCACGTATCACCCTCTTTAAATAAAGTCTTCAATCAATCAATCAACCAAATACTATGCTACCTCTATTACAGCTTGGATATATCATAATAATAATATAGTTTTGAGAGAGCCTATGTAGCAAGCAGTTGATGAAAATTATTTTCACACAACCCTTACATATTCTTTTATTTACTAGTGGTGGCTTGTCCAATGAACTCTTCATATGCTCACTACCAGATAACTATCCCATCAATACAACAGAGCACAGGAAGGTGTTACTTAGAATCTATGGACAGCTGTATGGAGAATTAGTAAAGGACATTCACGCCCTTGTGTCTGATGTCATGGTTTTTGCCTTACTTGCCGAACGAAAAGTTGGACCAAAACTATATGCAATTTTTCCAGAAGGGCGCCTTGAGGAGTTAATACCGGTGAGTATTCCTGGGTATTTGCAAAATG